TGAAAGCCACCAGAGCAGGAGAGACAGGAGTTGTCCTCCTGTGGCTTACAGTGGCTGTTTGCAAAGCTGCACCCCCAAATACCCATCCCTTCCCCTGTGCTACCATGTGAACCCCTTGCTTGCCGTGTGCTGCAGCTGGGTAAGGGTGCAAGGGTGCTTCAGGCTCTGGGGACCCTGCCACAGGCTGGTGGTGCCTGAGGAAGCACATGGAGGGAAGGTGGGGGCTGGTTTTTGGGATCAAGTGATGATGCTGTGCGTGCCAGACCCACTGACCAGCGCTTCCTCTCTTGTTGGAGCCAGAGGGTGTCTGGCACAGACCTGCTGCTCTCCAACCTGCAGAGAACACAGTCTGGAGACATGAAACACAGCTGGCCCTGCCTGTGTTGTCTGCAGGGAACATTGCATTTGGATGGGGTGCCCTGGGCTTGTCAGGGAAAGCCTGTGGTGGCTTTCCCTGCTGCCCACCCCACACCCCACAGTGGCACAGGGACTTTGAACAGTCAATGCACACGTGCTGCTTCATGGTGTGGGTGTGGGTGTGTGTGTACACTTGTGGGAGTGGGTGTGTGAAGTGCACAAGCACACAGGGCAGCATCAGAGGGGGGCCCTTGCAGCCAGCCCTGTAGGATCCAGCTCTCAGTAAAAATATATCATTTTACTCCTGGCAGTGCGGCTCCATCCCTTTGTTTGTGTTTTGGGGTAGTGGGGAGCCAGCCAGTGGGATGTGGAGAGTGCAGGGATGGTGGACTTCACTCCTGCCCCATCTACCCTCCCATGCCCTGGGTGATGGCCCAGTGAGGGTCTTGCCCAGCATCCCTGGAGCCTCCTTATCACCCTTGCAGAGAAGACTTGGGCACTGGCTAAAGGCCAGCAGAGCCTTCACTTTATACCAGGGTTTACAACAGGGGTGGGGAAGGTGTCAGCCTGCTGTAAATGCCACAGATCCTGAACAAAGCAAGAATTTGTGGGGCTCCTGGGAGCAGGGCAAAGGCTGGGGGTGCTGTAAATCACTGCCCAATACAGGCACTGCCAGCAGGTCTCACCCATGGTGCTCCAGCCCCTCTCTGCAGATGGGGGGCAGGGGCACCCTTGAGTCCTGCTCCTCCTGCCCAGGGGGACATTCTCCAGGCTGGAAGCTGCATTGGCCACCCTGTCTGCTCTGGAGCCGTGCTGGGCCTGGTGCCCAGGCAGGAAGGGAGGGAGCTGGGCAGGGCAGGACGTAGAGCTCCGGCCGGCAAAGGAAGTTGTGTTTCCTGCATAGCACACAGAGGCTTCCAGCAGCCCATGGTAGGACTCCTCAGTCCTAGCACTGCTCAGTCCCAGCCCCACCTGCCCTGGGGATGAGGATATTTCCCTTCATGTCTCCTGTCACTCATGGATATTTCCCACTATTTTATATCCAGCTGGACTTTTTTCTTCCCTGCTCCCTCCCTGGCCCTGGGAAAGTATCCCAGCCTTTAATATCCCTCCATCACTCTCTGCCAAGTACTACAGCCAGGGTATCTCTGTGTACCCTGGCTCATGCCACCCCCACATCCCCACAGAGGGGCCAGAAGCTGCCATAGAGAAAAGGCAGGACAGGCAGGGCTAGCAGCTGTCTCCAGGGGCTGCAGCCCAGCCCACAGCTGCAGATTTTGACTAGGGCTAACACCAGCTGCGTTTTTCACCTGTGCTCCAGAAATGCCCACAGCCCTTCCATGGGTGCCCCATCTGCTCACGTACCCTGAGGTCCCATTCCCAGGGCTGCTGGGAACGATATAACATCCTGTCCTTTCCATCCTTTTCATGGAGCCTAAATTCAGACACCATGGCTGATACATAGGAGAGTGACCCAAACCACCCCACTGGGTCTTGTCCAGCCCCTGCTCTGGTACCTGAAGCCCCTGCCCAAATCTCCATTGGTGACAGGTGGCAGGGAGGTGTGACCAATCCCAGTGTTCCCTGTTGTCTGAGATAGCCCAGGCACACTCAAGACACTTGTTTTCCCTAAGAATATTAGTTTAAAAGTTCCCTTTCCTGCAAGTCCCCCTTCCTTTAAAGCTCCTGAATTCCCTCAACAATCCAGCCCTCCTTCTCCTCCACTGCCTTCCGGGTCACTACTGGACCTATTGAAGTGTAATCACAAGGTCATTTCCTGGGTTGGATCATGTCCTGTGAAAATACCCCAAAGTTAATACTATGTGGAGCCGAGAGCGCCACTCAACACCAAGAAGCAGGACACAAAACAAGTGACTTCACCTGGGTTATGGCACAGCTGATCATCTTATGAAAGCAACTCTTTTTAAATTCAGACCCTCCACCTATCCAAAGGTCCTTGGCCCAGATTTTTGCACTTCCAAAGTCGGGCTAAAGCTGTGCTTAACCCCAGCCCCTGCCCATCACTTCCTGGCTCAGTGCCTAGCAGGTTTGCCCACTCCCAGGCAGGTAAATCCCTGCACCATCCCCAGGTCTGTGCATCCCACAGCCTGCACCACCTTGGGAGTGAAGTGCCACACACCCCTGGCCAGCTGCCACTGCTCTGTTCCCATGTCACACCTCCAGCAAAGCTCCAGGTGCCACTTTTGTTCCTGTGGGCAGTTGCCCTTGGCAGCTGTTTCTTAGAGTAGTAACTATGTAAACATCACGTACTGATAAGCCAAATTCCTGTTCATCAGGGGACAGGTTTATAATCCTGCTCCAACACCAAGCCAGCATTTGCTCTGTAAAGCCTGAGCTTCTCCATCTGTATGAAGTTCCCCAGAAACACCCCAAGTACTGTTTGCACTCCATGGAGAATGATGGGAAAGAAACACACTTGGGGGAAGCAGCCGTGACACAACCCTGCCAAGTGCCCTTATCGCCTCCACTCTACCCTCTCTGGAAAGCAGGCGTTGCTGGAGAGCAGGGAAAGTTTATGCTGGATCACTATGGAGAAAGAATGTGCTTGTGCAAACATCCCACCCAGCCCAGGTCCCACTGCCAGCAACTCCTGAACTGCAGCAGCACCCAGCTGGGCTGGACTCTATCGAATCTATCACTTCGGCCCACGACAGGAGTGGGTCACAGCCCAGGAGCAGGACGACCCGAGGTGTGACTAGAGCACTTGCTCTACGGCTTTTTTGGCTGTCAGTCTGCGCTCTGAGGAGACAGAGAGGGAGGCCTTTTGCATGGGATAATAAGAGGATTTATTGCTCTGGGGAATCTTGGGGGCAAAAGACAGAAAATGTGAGTGTGCAACAGCTGAAATATGGAGGTAGTTCAAAGGGAAGGTACAGAGCATCAGCTAATCAGAGATATCCTGGGGAGGGTAAAAGGCAGGGTTCACAAAATCATCATCCAGTGAGGGAGGTGGGGGGGGGACAACTGGATCACATGGACTAATCAAGCGTCCAAATTTAGGGGATTTCCACAGTGGAATTCCAAGCAGGTGGTGAGCCTAAAACACATTGACAGGAAACTGAGGGTAGATTGACAGCATGGGGTGGGAGGGTCTCATTTGGACCAAACCATCAACTTGGGCAATAACAGAACATACCATTAACAAGAAACACTGTAACAGGGCTCTGCTCAGTGCCCCAGGGCACAGGTCCAATCTGTGAGGGACTGCCAGTGCACACCCATGCCACAACCTGCTGCCATGGAACAGGTAACATTCTCCAGTGTGCAGCTCTGGCATCGACTCACGCCCTGCCAGCAACACAGGATGAACCCATACTCCCCAGGGCACCTCCTGCTGTTACACCCGGCAAACATGGCACACAATCACAGGGGGAAACCCCTCCCCCAAAAACCAAGTCATTTGGGGGCACAGAGTTGCATTTTTAAAGCCTGAAACCTGGGTCTCACCACAACTCAGCTTGGGGCAAGAGGATCATGAGCCACCTCCTTCAGTTCAGAGCTAGTAACTGTGATGCTGGGCTGTAGGAAGTCTGACCTGCACCAGTGATCCAATGGATAAATGAGGCTTTTGTGAAAATACACAAACAGGATAAAGTGTGCAGTGTGGTCATCTGACAGACACAGTGTGTGTGAGCCTGGCCTGCCCCATGGCACGGGATCAGCCCTCAGAAGGGCTCCTGACTTCCCCAAATACCTGCACAAAGAGCAACTACTGGCAGAGATTTATTTTCTGCAAGGACAGGAGCCTCTAGGAATGGTATCACCAAAACAGCCAGAAAAGCTTTTGTTCACCACAGCTTTCCAATTCCACCTCAAGTGACAGGGCAGAAAGCTGGAGTTTGTACCCAGCTTTCGAAAGGGACAGACCATGATGTGAGCCTGGCCCTTCTGCTAGAAGGAATTGATCTTGCACTGGAACAAGACCAAGGAGGTCAGGGAAAGACCAGCTGGTCAACTGAGCAGTGCCACCTAGTTTGGTTAAAAGATACTGGATCCTGCAGGGAATTGTGCTGCCAGCCAGAAAACACCAAAAGGGGCTGCTGGCCTGAACCAGGGATAGGAGCTGCTCACGTAATATGGAAAGCACACACAAGTTACCAGCTACAGAGGCTGAAGATGGAATAGCCAAATTTTCAGCCAGACTTAGCCCATTTCCCCACTGACCTCTCCAACACCCCAAGTGCAGGACATGCTGACCTAACACAACACAGGAACAGTGGGGAGGAAGTGTGCATACCTCAGGAGCTCCCAGGAACCCAGAACTCTTAATGAGGGTGAACACTTTCACCTTCCTCCTTGTCACAGCTTTCCTATATTGCACATTCTCCACTTCTGCCAAATCCGACAACTTTTTCACATACACACTTGGTCCTGCAAGACACTTAGAACCTGCGGAGATGTTTTAGTTGAGCACATGCAGGGTCAGGTTTTGCCAGAAGACATTAAAGGAAGCAGAGATTCCTAGAGTTCCATCTTTCTCCACATATTACAAGGCAGGTGCAGCTACAGAAGCCCCTGCCACACTGCACACACAAATGAGCACACAACCTGTTACCATAGTAGACTCTTGGTTTTATTCGTTCTCTTAGCACAGTAATTTTTATTCATTTGCCTTTTCTGGCCTTGATCTTCCTCAAGTAGAACTCTAATTCCTTGCCTTCCAACACGTAGCCATCAGCTCGGCCACACTGTCCAGGTCTGGAGGCAATGCAGGCTGCAAGGAGAAGTCATTCAGTTAAAGTTTGGCCATTTCCCACCCCAGTGCACACACCGAAGAACACTGCATGCAGCCTCTCTGCAGCACCCCTGCCTGAGGCACCGTGCTCTGGAAGCTGCGCTGCTGCGGTCCCTAACGAAGTCCTCCTCAGATCTCCAAACTGTCATCGCTTGGGTTCAGTAGCAGAACTGGACAAAGGTCTCATCACCAGAAGACTTCAGAACACTCAACTGTTTGCCAGAGTTTGAAACATCAAAGATCTTAGATGCCTGCAGCACATTTTTCTGACACACATGTCCTCATTTTGCTAGTCTTGAGCCCCATTTCTTTCTCAAAGCCCCAAGAGGAATAACCAACTGCAGGAGCCTAGCTAGCCAGATTTCCCCATCCTGCCACAAAGGGGGTATCTCTGGAGAAGACAGAAGAGCAAGTTACATTAATGCTGCCAGGGACTCACCAAGTAGCTTTCCTTGCTGGAACTGCTCCTCAAGAATACTTGCTATCTTGGCATTCTTCTTTCGCTCATCGTATTTTTTCTGGATCTTCTTTGAACGCTTCTTGTTCAGTATTTCCTCCTCTTCAGGAGTCTAAACCCAAGACCAAAAGCAAAAAAATTGTTTAACAAATGACCACCCTCCACTAACAAAGGTGTTTTCCATTACCGTGAAGGAAACCCTTGTATTCTCAGCACTGTACTGTTTTCAAAGCCATACCTGGCTGAGGTACAAATACTTTGATCTCACAGAACCAGGTGCTGCATTTCACTTTTGAGACCAAGAAATGCAATACTGCTAAGTAGAGTCACTGCTGACAACTGAGCACAGTGCCCTAGGGAAGGCTGTTCTCAAGTCAATGAAAGTGCAAAGGTTTCCCTGGTGAATCAGTCCTCTTACAAAAAGCAGTGAATACTCTTTCCCTCTGCAGAAATAATGAAAGCACTTCGCTGTGGTACAAGTTCAGGCAGATGAGCTCTCCCCCTGCTTCTGCACTACACAGCACCCAAATGAGAACTGCATTGCTTTAAATGCAAAGATTAACCTGTAAGCTACAGGTCGGGTTTTAAATACCTTCTAGCAGTTTGGTGTTTGATTCTGAGATTAATGGCTCAGTGTAGCTCTAAGACACTTAAAAACACCCTAAAGTTCAATTAGCAATCCCCAAGCTTCTCACCAAAGCAATCACTGCCCAGCACAAGAACCAAACCTACAAAGTCTTCCTCAGCATCCTAAATTGTCATCGCTGTCCCTTCAGTAGCAGAACTGGACAAAGGTATCATCATTAGAAGACAAGATCTTGACAGGCAGGTCCTTGTGCACAAATGGGTGTTATGCTTCTGGGAGAGCTCCTGCTACTGAGCACTCCATTAAGAGATCCAGACTTATCCTGGAAACCTACAGGAACACAACTTGGACAACCAATGCTGGGTACCCAACCCTATTCTGGCAGGCAGTGTCTGCTCAGGATGGGTAACTGCCTCTGGTTGCAGACTCTGCTCTGCCAGGAGCCAAAAGTACAACCTCAGACGTACCAGTTTGGCGCCCTTCTTGCGTCCGAGGGGCAGGGCATAGTGGGCCTCATACCACTGCCGGTATGGGGTGCTGTCAATGAGCACGATGCAGTTCTTCACCAGGGTCTTTGTCCGCACCAGCTCGTTGTTGGAAGCGTTGTACACAACATCAATAATTCTGGTCTTGCGAGTGCAGCCTTTCAAAAGAAGAGCATGGGTTCAGACCTACAGGGATCAGGCAGCTGAGTATATAGTTCATAGCATCTCACACATACCATTAAAATGATTTTGCACTCAACACCACATCCAGTATCCTCCAGGCTGCCTGGCACTGAATTAAATTTAACTAAAGCATGCATCTATTTTTTGTCAGTTAAACTTTCTGTTGCTAGGACAGAAATCTACACCTGAAAATTAAATCCCTCCTACATGAAAAACCAGATCAGTGGCCTTGCTGCAACTCATCTCAAAAGTATCTAAGCAATCCTAGAAAATAATATTCCAGATTGCAAGATCAGTAGATGCCAAGTAACACTGTACACAGGGCTCAATGCTGTATCCACTTGATAGAATTACTCATTTAAGCCACACTGAGCAGGATTGCCCTGCAACACATTCCAGAAACCATTTCCATAGGAGTAAATTGAGAAGGGAAGCTGATGTTTTCACCTTTCCAAGACCCACCTGAAGTATACAGTCTCAGCTACCAGATTTGACTATTTAGCAGTCACCTTCCCTGGAAATAGCCCTCCACATCCACGAAGATCATTCACAAAATGGATGGGTTTTCTCCCTTCCCTCACGTACCTCATTCTTGTGCAAGGTGCACTCAGCCTCTTCATATTTGCAATACTGACTGTACTTTTCACTGCACAGACAATAATGCTCTGAGATAACTGAAAGCACGTCCTGTCCCCTCACACCATGCAGGTCATTAACCCACCACCTTCCTTACTGTGGTGCTGTTTTACTATCCTACTCAGAACCCTGACTGGGCCCAGGTTCAAGTGATACTGTTGTCAGTCTGCAAAGCAAAGAAAACCCACCTTGCTCAGGGGAAATATTATAGAATCCCCCTCTTGTTTCTGGGCTTTCCACTTTTGCTTAGCAAAGCAGAAATATGAAATTGCACATGCTAATTAACACTGTCCTAGGGTCAGACCTTCTCACAAGCATCCTGAGCACCTTTCTCTGTTGCACAACATCACTTAACTTTTAGTTATGAACAAAACTTTCATTTATGAAGAACTACTCATATATAGGATTTCAGTTCATCTTTAGCCCCTCTCCCCCACACGAAGTTAGGTAAGCATGTCACTCAGTGTAACTATGACACTCCTATCACTGTGAACTTAGTGGAAATCCAAGTCCCCTAAGGCCACGTAAGGTCAAAGTTATCCTCATCACCATGCATGCCGCTTCAGCTGCCACCTCCAGGATGTTCAATCCAAGCCCACAAATCCATGTTTGCATCCTTCTACTCTGCAGCAGTACTGCAGACCAGCGCAGGTCTCATCACATACTTACATTCTGACCCCCAGGAGAAGTTGCCGACATCCAACCGAAGGGCTCGGTACTTCTTATTGCCCCCACGAACCCTCACAGTGTGAATCCGGCGTGGGCCAATCTGCAGTCAGAAACAAACACCAGGCTGCCATTGGTGCTCAGAAGTTGCATGGCCCTGCTCTTTCAGGACCACGACAGAGTCCTAACCTCGAAGGCAATGTGGTCAGTGTAACTATGACAAACCCCAGCATCGGCAGACACAGTAAATGACCAGAACGGTCTGCTGCATCTACCTAAGGTGAAAGCTTCATCATTCCAATTGCCTCTTTCTGCAAAAATGTATCACTGCTTTCCATCGGCAGAGGAGCAAAGAGCACCTTTTAGGTGCTATTCAATATTCAATATTCATATATTCAATCCCACACCAAACAGCAGGTATTTAAACCTCTCTTAGCACAAGAGCAGTAACTCGAGTTTGAAAACAAGATTCTGACTAACCTCGCCCAACCACTCACCTTAGTGTTGGCGGGAGGTCGCCCCAACTCATACTTCCTCTTCTTATGGTAGGGCTTCCTCTTGCCCCCAGTCTTGCGACGCTTGTGCCAGTTGTCCCTGGAGATACCTGAATGGAGAGCAGTGTGGTCAGAGGGTGCCACGAGCCCATCCGGCTGCAGCAGCAGGGCGCGGTTCTGAGTCCTCAGCTCTCCAAGGTTGGTATCCGCACAGTGCACTCAGCCTTATGCAGCAGTTAGAGAAGCTTCATCATTGATACTCAGATGTGCCCCGAACGCGTCCCTTACAGCAGAGCTGTAACAAGCACACAGACCCCCTCTTCCGCGTGCTCTTTGGGAAGCTGCCTCCCAACGTACCTCGCGTGCTGGGCACTCTCTGGGAAGCGCCCGACGCCGATCTGACAGGCACGCTACAGCAATCATCCTACGCTACTGGTAGGATGTGGGAGGTCTGCTATAGGAAGGGACCCCCATCCCACCTGTCCGCTGAGCCCCTACGAGAGACACCCCGAATCAACTCAAGTCTGCTGGGTCCCCAACGGGGACCATCTCTGCAGAACACGCCACCTCCCGCAAAGGCACAAGCTGCCAACCGCCTCAGTGTTCCCCCTCACCCGCATCTGCTCATCTGCAGCAGACACCGAGAGCGAGCCCAGTGCTCGGGATCTGCAGGAAATCAAGGCACGGCGAGAAGAGGCCGTCCGCCCCATCATCCACCAGCCGCCATGTTGGGCCCGGTCACCCTCCCCCCGCCAGCAGCTCGGCACTACCGCAGCCGCCCCCATGGCGGACGGCGCAGGGCGGCGGCAGCCCCCGCTTGCCACCCGGGGGAGAGCAGGGCGGATGCGGTGCTACAGCGAGCGGATGGCGGCGGATGTCGGTAGGCGCGCGGCCCCTGCACTCACCCATGGCGCAGCACCGGCGCAAAGAGGCGGGGCGGAAGCTCGCGGGGCGGCTTGGCGGGGTGAGCTCTCGCGATGCTGTGACGTCACCGCGTCGCCAGAGAGAGGCGCACGCCGTTGCCTGGAGACGCGGCGCCGAGGGGAGCCGGCGGACAATGGCGACGGCCTGCGGGGGCGGCTGCGCCCGCGGGCCCGGCACCGAGCGGGCATTGTCAGGGGTCTCTGCCGCAGGCCCGTCCTTCCTGTTCCGCGGCTCACCCCGCGAACGCCTCCAGACAGGGCCCAGGGCCCGGCGTCCCGCGGCGCGGCTGAGCGAGCGCAACAGCCTCCGCACACGAGGGCTGCGAGTCGTGGTAGCCTCATTAGCATATGCACATGAGTATTCTGGATCATTTGCATGCCCGGTGCGCAGCTCTGGTTCATTAGCATATCCCGGATTAGTATTCAGATTTTTGTCGGTACCCAGGGTGCACCGCGCGGCGGCGGAGCGGCCCCGGTCGCGCTTTCCGCCCCGCTCTCTGGGACTGCCGCGTCCGGGAGCGGGCTGGATCCCTGGCCGAGCCACAGGGACAGACCGGGGCGGCGGGAGAGAGCAAGCCCCACAGTCGCCATGTCCTAGAGAGGAATAGCTGAGAGACGGTGTCCGCGGGAGGAGGTCCCACAGTATACTCTGGTTTCTCTTCAGATCGTATAAATCTTTCGCCTTTTACTAAAGATTTCCGTGGAGAGGAACAGGCACGAGTGTCGAGAAATTTTTTGAGGCTCCATTTCGGTGGAGCTATCCCTTATTTGGTTCAAAAATAGATATGAAGTGAAAGGTGCTAGGGAAGTCCTGGCGGAGGCGACAGGGAGATAGATGTAATTGAGTAGGTTGCATACAAATTAGAAAAAGAGATAATTGGGTCCTCTACTATCATTTATGTTCAGGTTTCACGGGTGGATTATAGGAATTAGCTGGATGGGTGCGGCCGGGGTGCTGTGGGCATTCACATTATATCCAGGTGGAGACAGGTGACAAACGCTGTGCCTTGGGACTGACTTGGGCTTTTAATGTCTTTATCAATGACACCGACAGTGGGAGTGAGTGCACCCGCAGGCAGTTTGCAAGGTGAGTGGTGCGGGTGACACACTTGAAGGACAGGGAGCCAGTTACGGGGACCTGGACAAACTTGGGCCCACAAGAACCCCATGAAGTTCAACAAGTCCAAGTGACCCGTGCTGCCTCTGGGTCTGGACAATCCCAGACACAAGAAGAACTGGAGAATATGGACTGGAAAACTCCCTGAGAACAGCCTTGCTGAGAAGGAAGTGGGGGTTCTTATGGGTGAAAAGCTGGATGTGAACCAAGAGTGAGCAGTTGCAGCCCAGAAAGCATCCTGGGCAGCAGGTCAGGGGAGGCAATTCTGCCCTTTTGCTGCCAAATCCAGCTTTCTTGTCCCCAGTACTGGAAAGACATGGATATGTTGGAGCAAATCCAGAGGAGGCTATGAAGATGATCAGAGGGCTGGAGTCTCTCTCCTGTGAAGACAGGCTGAGACAGCTAGGGTTGTTCAGCCTGGAAAATAAAAGGCTTTGGAGAGCTCTTATTGAGGCCTTATATCACCAAATGAGAGACAGCGACATCCAAGTTGAGATCAGAAGCCAATTTTATTGAGTATACAAGGCATTTATATAGGGTTTTACTTGTATGGCACTTATATAGGGGTCTATTTTTGGTAAAAATTTCCCATTGGTTACACATTCTTCATAATATCAATTTACCTGCTAACATTATCACAAAATTTCACGTGGTTCTTGGTCACTTATTGCCCAGCCCAGGGAGCACTTATCTTTGTCTGTCTCTCCCACAGTTTCTGCTCAGTCAGGCTCCTTTATCAGTTCCACTGGACTCTCTGTTTCATTCCCCATACCTTCCAATACTTACAGGTGGCCTATGAAAAAAAAGAGAGAACGTTTTAAAATTAAAAGAGGAGAGATTTACATTTAATATTTGAAAGTAATTCTTTACTGGGAGGGTAGTGAGGCACTGGAACGGGTTGCCAAGGGAAGTTGTGACTGCCCTATCCCTGGAAGTGCTCAAGACCGGGTTGCATAAGGCTTTGAGCGATCTGGTCTACTAGGAGTATACCTCCTCAAGGCACAGGGATGGGAATGAGATGATCTTTAAGGCCCCTTCCAACCCAGACCATTCTGTAATTTTATTTTATTTTTCTTACAGTTTTTCTATTAATACTATTTTGCTTTAATTATTAAACTCCTTAGTCTCAACCCATGAGTTTCTCACTTCTACCCCTCCCGCGGGGTGGGGCAGCGAGCGAGAGGCGCCAGCTCGCTCCCAGCCGGAGTTAAAGCACGACGGGGACCCGCGAGCCCAGCGGAGCCTGCGTCCGCCCCGCCCCGTAGCCGGCCTGATTTGCATACCCAGGGTGCCCCGCGGTCCCGCCTGTGTCCGGCCCCGCTGCTGTCCGGTGCTGCCGCCGCTGCCCCGCCCGGGCCGTGGGGACTGTCCGATGTATCCGACCCCCGGGGCCGGGCCGGGGGTGCGGGGCTGGGAGCGGCGGGGGAGGGGAGGGTCGCCCTGACTTATGGAGGGTGGAGCAGACGTGGGGTATATTGGGGTGGAGGTTCTTAGGTATACTCTGGTTTCTCTTCAGATCGTATAAATCTTTCGCCTTTTACTAAAGATTTCCGTGGAGAGGAACAGGCACGAGTGTCGAGAAATTTTTTGAGGCTCCACTGCGGTGGAGCTATCCCTTATTTGGTTCAAAAATAGATTAAGTTCTAACACTTCACGTAAAGGTGTCTCAGGTTCGTTGAAATATTTGAGTGCCGCTGTGTACTGACACTCGCCCAACTTCTGCGTCACCTGCACCTCAATATTGCACCAGCCCCAAGTTTGTCCTGTTCAACAACAGCTCGAGCCCCTCGCGGCCCTTCCCGGGAGCGCTGCCTCCGCCCGCCCCAAGCCGCACTCACTCAGCAGGACCAATCACCCCGCCCTCCTTCCCCAGGACTACATCTCCCGACAGCCCGCCGCCTGGCCTGCCGGGAAATGTAGTCCCGCCTGGACTCCCGGCAGCCCCCGCGGCACGCCGGCGCGCGGGGTTTAAACCGGCGGCGGTTGCCGGGCGGGTGTTTCGCTGCTGGGGCCCGGACGTGGTTCCTGTCCCTGTGCCCGTGCCATGGACTCCCGCCTCTATCGCAACGTCCATCCCGGCGCCGTTATTAATATCCAGCGGAGCAGTGGTGAGGAGTGGGGAATGGGGAGTCTGCAGTATCCTGGCCGCCGCCGCCTATGGGAGTCCGGGCGCCGTGTGGCGGCCGGGTTTGGGCTCAATGCCGGCTTTTTCCAGGCTTAATCCATAAGGCAACGGTGAAGGTAGTGAACGTGGAGCACTCCTGCGTGACCGTGGAGTGGCCTGAGGGCGGCGCCACCAAAGGCAAGGAGGTGAGTGACGGCTGCTCGCGGCCCCTTCCTTCCCCAGGTGCTCCAACGCCCCTGGGCGCCGGCGGGATGAGCCCCGGGAAGCTCGAGGCTCCTCAGGCGTGGCCCAGCTCTTCTGCCCCTCTGGGTAGGCAGCGCTTGTCCTGCGCTGCTGCAGCTCGCTCCGCTTGTTTTATACGTAATGAAGGCAGTGCTCTGGGTGTGCCAAGGTAAGGTGTGAGAGCTGCAGTACCAAAGCTGCACCCTTTGCCCTTCAGAGGGGCCAAGGAGTTGTTGGGCCTCTCGCTGAATGTCCCAAGATTCCAGTTTTCTAGCTCTGTGGGCTCTTTGTTGTCTTTCCATGTTTTATGCTATGGCATTTAGACGTTCTTTAAAATCTGTTGCTAATAAGGTGCTGTGTTAACAGAGCTGGGCTTGATTTCCTCAATCTCTGCACCAATATGAAATAAATACAGCATGAAATAGGATGCGAGGGAGGAAAGTCTGGGGTATTTGAAGGTGATGCGGCTGAAATCCTGACACTTAAAGAAGTCTGATACTCAGCAAATGTACTTGTCCTTCTGGTGTCTCTAGAAAGGTGCAGACTCTGGATTTCAGTGCAAATCTTAAAAGTTGCCATTGGCTGATTGTTTGAAACCTAATCTTGCTTTGTGCATGTGCCTGCTGCATTCAAATATAAAAAATATACGGATTCAGATATAATTCTTGGCTAAATTGCATGTATGTGCTAAGATGTTAAATCTTTAGGAAGGATCCTTCAAAATCCAGCAATTTTTTTATATGCTTATGTACGTACACTATGCATGTGCTTGCACGCACTTATTTTGACCACATACTTGTTTCTGAGCTAATTAATTTTCCAGTTAGCTGCTAACCAATTTCACATGGATTAGACTTCATCAATTACTTCTCTTACACTAGAAAGTGGTATTTTCACATTTTAGAGAGCTTCATCTGCTTGCTTTCTTATGTTTTCATGGACTCTTACTTAAATAATTCCAGAGTCAATTAAGAACTCAAGAACTTCCTGGTGGTGTTTGTGTTGCCTTGTTAGGTGAATTCCAGTTGTAAGCTGCTGGATCTCTTCAGCAAGTATAGTTTTGAAAAACGGAACAGAGACTGAGTTGTGGTATTTGTGCTTGAGCCTGCCATATCCCTGTCTTTGCCAGGGTGCCCCATGATGAGGTGAAAGCAGGATTATGATTTCACATGCGGGTCAGTCAGGAAGTGATAGTGGTTTCCCTAGGTGAAATTGTTTGCAGTAGTGAGTGAAGATGCAGGTGAATTAAGCTATGGATTAAATGCTGAATCCTTAATTTTCCAGAGTCTAAGCAGCTCTTTGATGTTTATTTCAGTAAGCACAATCACACAGTAAACACTTAATGCTCACCTAGCACAGAAGTCACAGAGCTGCTGAGATTTACTAAGATTAGCAGTGGGAGATTAGAGCAGGGGATGCCGAATGGGCTTTGTCCTTCAGAAGTGCTCTATGGCACCTGCAGAGCTGTGTGGTGTTTGGCAGATGAGGGTAAATGGCTTAACTAACATATTTTGTCTGGTGTACTTAGGTGTATCAGATTGTTCAAATGGAATGGGAACTACTGTTTTGCTCTTCTAAGCAATTTTAATGTAACATTTAGCAGTGGGTCCAGTTTATTAGCCTTCACTGAGAGTCCAGATTAGAAAAAAGCAATCCCTAAGCGGTAGCACCATTATTCTACTATATAAAATATTGCCTTTGCTCTTGCAGGTTGATATTAATGATGTGATTGCAATAAATCCTGAATTATTAGAGCTGCCTCCTCCTGATGTGAAAGAAAATGTTCCTTTGCCATTCAATGTAACTTTACAGGTAAGTGCTTTAAAGTAGTTTAGTTTCTTCTAAGTTACTGATGCATAGGTCTTGTTAGGTATAATACTCTCAGTCTTAAAGTTTGAGATTTCTCATGTGTCTTTTCTGTCTCATAGGTAGGCTTTGGTCAGAAATTCTTGTTGTATTGATGTTGCCCTGAAGAGCAGTGCTTGGTGTTTGCTGCTTACTCCAATTGCTTACAGCATTCCTTGCTTTTCAGAAACAGAAGCGTAGAACAACTCTTTCAAAAATTCCTGCTCCACGGGAAGGTGAGAAAATGTCTTTTTTTCTCTGCTATACCTTTGTGCAATTGTGCTGGTTGTACATTGTAGCCACAATATTGTACTTTAGTGCCTCATAAGGCTGCTCGTTCAGGCAGTGCTAACAAAGAGGTTACTGTCTCATATGAGTCTTTGGACTCCTGAGGGCAGGAACACTTCTAACAGGTTGCTGTCCTGTTCCTCTGAGATGGGGTTTGTTGATGTGTTCTCCTCTTCTCCAGTACTGCTGTAGTTATTCCCTGCTTTAAATGTCACTAGGCAGTTGCTGTTGTAGCGAGTTTTAAAGTTCTGTATGGACCTTTGCAAATGCCACAAACAACAGCAGTTAAGTGGCAATTATTAAGATTAAAAGTGTCAGAATGAGAGTGGAAAGGACAAGAAGGAAATAGTGGTGACAAATGTATGTCTCCTCATCAAGCAGTCTCCCTAGACAATAAGTAGAGCTTTATGCTTGGAGACATTTCAGAGCAGGCAGCCGAAGTGCCAGCTGATGTGCCCAGCTCCCTGATTGCATGTCAGCACAATGTGTTGAGCAAAGCCAGAAGAGTAGATAGAGATGTCAGTGTGGGATTGCTAAGAAATTGTTCTTCCTGAGGTGTCAGGAGGTAGAAAATGCCTATTTTCTACCTTCTCTTAGCTTTATTAGCTGATTCTTTAGGCTTTTTGAATTGCAAATGGTAGCATTACAGGTCTATTTATAATACACTGTATGATGCTGAGGTTGAATGATTACTAATTTAATGATTCTCTTAAAGTGCATATTTAGCCAAAACTTGTGCTTCTCCATTCAATGGAGCTGTAAACAAAACATCTGGGCTTGTCTGGCCTCTTGTGTTGCATGCAATGCAAGACTGGTAAGCTGGTCCCAGAAGACAACAGTACAAATTCCCTGGCATCAGAGAGGCAGGAGCTGTCCAAGAATCCTAATGTTACGAAGTTGTTCTGTATTAGAGTATCCTGATCTTTCTCAAATTCAGAGAACTCCATAAATGTTATGAACTGACAAGCAAAATGATGTCATAAAGTCATGACTGTCTATATATAGGTCTGTTAATAGAACTGGATAGCAAACTGGAAAACACAAGGTGTGTTAATCCAGTCACTGCTTGATGGAAAGATGTCCTTATAGAGGTCACAGCCCTTCTGAAGTATAGAATCTAACTGCATATCTAAAATATCTGTTGCCTGTCCTACTGGCACAGTCCCATCCCTGAAGACCTGCTCGGAGCTTAAGAGCAGCAGTGTTTTCAGTATTCATCAAATAATTTCTGTTGTTATAACTAGCTAAAGCCCAGGAGTGTCAGAGTATCTGTCCTATTGCAAGCTCTGCACTGCACCAATTAGAAAGCTATCATTGACTTCAGACTTGTTCTTAGACTAAACAAATTAAAGAAGATCAGCAGGTGTCTATCTCTATCTTATTCAGGAAAGAAGGAAAGCAGAAGCATTAGAAGCGTTCTGCTTTCAGAATTAATTAAGAAATAGATTATTAAGAAATAAATATTGCCTCAGTCCCACAAATCAATAGGAATTTTTGACAATGCTGAATATCCTCACATACAAGAGTCACTTGAATCAAACCCATTTAGATGGAGTGAATGCTCCAGTTAATCTACCTGTCCAGAAGCACCAGCATTTATAGAAACAGTGCTGCTGAGTGTGAGATGGGATCAGGTCTGGGCATGTGGGACAAGAGGAAATGGAATAAAATGCCCTTTCTGAGTATAATGAAACTGATGCTTTTTGTTTCTAAAATTGCAGCAGTCACACCTAATGTCTCTGCACATGAGCAGAAGATTCAAGGTAAAGAGTTAACAGGAGCAATGAATTTTGGGAATCGTTCTAAGAAATTTAATTCAGAATGGAAATGAACCCTTGGTCTCCAACAGATTTGGTGTCCTTTGTAATAATAGTGATTCTTTCTGGATAAATTCTAATAGTTGCTGGTCATGAGAGATGCAAGGAGTTCTAGCTTGCATATCACTTCCCTTTTTCATATCAGATTTGCTTTTTTTTTTTTTTTTTTAACAAATCTATTGAGGCAAACATTCCAATCCTTCCCCTAGGAAGCTTTGTGAACGACTTTATCTCAGTGAAAGAAATACCTTGACATGTGAAAATGGAGACTGCGTACAAAGGGACCCTTTTCAAAGATTTGCTGTTGTGGTTATACAGAGTCTTTTAACTGAATGTAGGGCCACAGCCTACTGTACACCACACATAGCCTGTGGGTGGGCACAGTGCTGCCCATGGCCAGTTGCCAGGCTGCTGCACCCTTGTTACCATCAAAGAATTAATTCATACAGCCCTGCAAGTGTGAAGCTTCAGAGGATTTAGTGATTCTCTGCCTTGAAACTTCTTCCTTCCTAGGCATTAAGTGTTAAGGTGCTGAAACTGCCATATCCTTATGTGAGTCCTTAGTGGGATCTGAAAGAAATTCACTGGAATTGCAAATCTGGAATGAACTGATTGCTTTTCTGTAGTGGTGGGTTTATTGATCACTTTTCACCCACATGCATTGCTTTGTCTTGCACTTTGATAATGGAAAAGATCCTTTTAACCACACCTTGCTCTCCACTGCTCTGTACTTTGTGAGCAATTATTGTTGCAAGTGTCTAAGTGTCCCTGGATTCCTGTTCCCAAAGCTGTGCGTGGCCGTTCCAGGATGTCTGCTATCACAGAATCCCAGTGCAGCTTCCAGGAAGATGAGATGGCAGTAGATCCCTGCACTTCTTTGCAAACCAGAAAATATGTGTCACTTCCTGGTGAGTGGAGAAACGTTCCAGTGAATTCTTAGTGTGAAACAGTTTTCACTTTGTTTGCATTTAATTATTCAAATCCCAGTGGGAGAGCAGCCTGAACTCTTTCATAGGTAAAATGAGAGACCTAGAGGTCTGCCACTATGCAAATATCCAGGGCTCCTACCTGAAATATTTTCTAAAGGACTTTGAAACAGTGTTGTGCATAATGATGTACTCTCTTAGCCAGAGAGCTGTGGCTGGGCAAGTTGGGTAGATACCGTATCTGCTTAATGGCATAAAATGGTATTCATGGGGCTAGAGTGGGAAGAGAAGTGACTTAACACTGCTGACAGCACACCCTGTAACTACACTGGTCATAGTTTTACCTAAACTGGTTGAGTACAGCAAGAACTTGAGCATCCTTGAATTATAAAATTGTAGTTATTTAATTTACTAGGCTAGCCTATGAATAGCTGAGGGCATGCCTTTCATGTTAAGCTCTATAAAAACACTGAAATAAGAGGCTTGATACTAACTTCTTGTCTAGTTGGTTTGACCTTGATTTGCAGCACTGCATAAAAGTTGGTGACTGGCAGAGGATTTAAATGTTTACTTGTAGATTTACCACAGGTTTTAGGTAGTTCTCTCTCCTCCTGCAGGAGTTGAGAAATGCCTGTGGTCTATGAGGCTTTACAAATTACAAAATTATTCTTGATCTTTGCAATCTAATTATTGGTTTTGGTCTGGCTTCTTTCTGCAGCTGGCCAAACCAGGGCTAGAGGGCTGGGTTGTATTCCAGAAGCCTCCCAGTCAAGTGTAAATGGAAATACAGAGAATCATCTGCCTGCTCCTAGGACAAGCTCTTCAGAGAGCCCAGGTACCAGGGAGCAGTGGATAAAGACTGACTCATCAGTCAATCACTGTGATTGCTGCTTTATGTACTCAGAGACTAAAGCTTTGAAAAGATGACTTCGGCAGCAAGACAGAATATCTTGATCTTTTTTTATTACAGATGTGTAATTCTGTTATAATGATATTGCTTCAGAAATGCTGCCTTTGCTTTAGGGTGGTAGTGGGACTTCCAAGGCAGTTTCTGTGATTGTTAGATCTGGCTTGGGAAGGAAGTGCTGCAAAATGAATGGCCATCCTTAGGAAGATGGTTATTTCCTGTATGAGTTAGTCTGTCAGCAACCTGGATAGGTTGAAGTATTTGTGCTTAATATCAAGTATGAAATTTTAATCCAAGAAATTGTTTTCATTTTATGCAGTTCGAAGAAGATCTAACATTGTGAAAGAGATGGAGAAAATGAGAAACAAGAGAGAAGAAAAGAGAGCTCAAATGAGTGAAATCAGGCTAAAACGAGCACAGGTGGAGTACTCTACAATACACTTGTAAGGGGAGATTCTATATGACACTGTAGTACAGTAGTTGAAATCAAAACATATTTTGGACAGGCTTTGTTCTTAGAAAGCTGTACATAAGGATGGATTGATTCTGGTTTCAGAAAATTGTGAATCTTGTAAGATGCTTTGAATTGCATATAGCTGCTTGTTTAATAGGCTCTGGGGCCTTTTTTTGCTGTAACAGATAAATTACATTCACATCCATGGTTTTTCCATGCAGGACTTTGACAGTACCTGTCCAAACTGGGAGTTTGCACGTATGATCAAGGAATTCAGAGAAACTTTAAACTGCCAGCCAATATCTATAAGTGATCCAGTAAGTAAATACTGAGACTACTAACTGCAGCCTGTAGACAGACTTCTCTATTTTGTACTGAAAATGTTGGCATCAAGCAGTTGGTGCACCTTGGAAATCGTCTGAGCATATTGTGAGCTTGAGGAAGTTGGTGGTATCTGTGAGGTCACTTGGCTTTCCTATTTATGGCTAAGCTGTCTTGTTTTACTTTGTGTCACTAGTGAAAAGCCTGTGGTTCAGCAATTATCATGCAGTGATATATGACCATCAGTTTGTAAGTGGCACAGCCACTGTTGTAGAAGTAGATATAATTTAAAATGGTCTGTTGAACTATTACAGAACATGTTAATATAAGTAATATGTTAAGCAGTTTTAAATAGGTCAAAAAGTGGAGGAAGTAAAAAGAGGTTGAAAACTAGAGAACCCTGACTTGGTCAGTACACTCAGCCATTAAAAATGCTGTGTATGTATCACTGTGTGACAGGAGAAGAGCTTGTTACCTTTGCCTTCTGTCTCACCCAATGGCATATACACTTCCCAACTCAACTGATGTGTTGCTGTGCTGTACAAATAGCTCAACTTGCTGTATCAGTAAAAAGCTCCAAGTCACAAAAAACCTCTGGGGTAAATGAAATTATTCATTTGTCTGATTAATTATTTGACCATAACTGCAGTATTGATATCAAAAATTTTGCTGGAAAGCATTCCCATCTTGTGTTGGAGAATGCTGCATAAAGAGAAATTATTTGTAGTGTTGATTTTACACGGAGTGCACTTTAAGACTGACCTCCCTGCATCCCTGTCAGCTCAGAAGAAGAAGCAGCAACTCTGATCCGCATGTTACAAAATGGATGTGAGGGAGCATTGGATCTCTCTGTAATAAAGTGTAATTGGGAAATAATTACTTATTTTCTTACTTTTCTTTTAGATAGAAGAGCACAGGATTTGTGTCTGTGTGAGAAAGCGTCCTCTCAATAGGCAAGGTGAGTGTACTGACCAAACAGCTGTCTTGATCAGTTTGACTTTGTTAATTTTTGTTAAAACTGAGGGTCTTTTTTCTCAACAGAACTTCTAAAAAAGGAATGTGATGTGGTTACTGTTCCGAGCAAGTGTGTCTTGATGGTGCATGAGCCAAAGCAGAAAGTGGACCTAACAAAATACCTTGAAACCCAAACATTTAGATTTGACTTTTCATTTGATGAAACTTCTTCGAATGAAATGGTATACAGGTAATGCTTGCTGCTCACTGGAAATGACTTTCAGATAAAAGCATGGAGCTATAGCTAGATGGTGTCTTTATCTTAAAGAAACTGTTACTTGAAATAAGCATTAGAATCCTTTTTGGAGGAAGCCAAAGGACTGAAAAGTCTAAGGCTTATTTTTGGCATAGCCTTGCTGATTGCCTAAGGATTTGATTTTTTTGAGTTTCTTTTCTTGTTAAAACTGATGATGATGAAGCAGTGCATGAAATATTTGCCTTAATTACTTTTTATCTTTTGAATATTCAGATTCACTGCTAGACCTCTTGTAGAGACCATCTTTGAGGGTGGGAAGGCGACATGCTTTGCATATGGCCAGACAGGCAGTGGCAAGACACATGTAAGTTTTTCTCCAAGGTCATAAATTTTCTAGCTTTGATAAAGTATTTCAAAGCTCCCCAATGTCTGAGCGCTAGTAGGGTTGTGTAAGAGGCTTGGACCTTGGTTTTGTTGTCTTAAAGCTAATACTTTGTAAGATGTTAACTCTTTTTCTGTAGCTTTATGTACTAGTAGGTTTCCTTGGAGGTTGTGAGGAAAATTGTACTGCTTTTCAAAATATTTAGAAAAAATCCTTTTAGAAATAAGAAATAGAAAAATATTTTTTTTCTCTTTAGAAAAAAGAAAAGTTGTCTTTGAAAGATTTAGGATGTCCTGGTATGTTAGTTTTAGTCATGGCTAGTCCTTGCCTCAAGTGCCTGTTGCTGTTTAACTCCTGTCTGTAAAGTGGGGCTATTAGTCTACATCTGAGACAACGGCTACTATCTATCCTGTGCTTTGAGCTTGAAGGCATTCCAAGGAATTCAGCAATTATGTAAGAATAAGCCTCTTGATGCACATAAACATTTAAGTGATCTGGTATTGTTTGTGAGGTGGGTGAGTTAGTGTGTTTGCTTTCTAACCACTCCTTCCAGTCTAACAGTTGCAGTTTCAAGAGTTGTGAAAGTTCTTTTGTCTCAAAAGAGAAAGCTTGCTCTAAGTTTTCAAAAGCTGTGTTGTCTTTAACTTTCTTCTTCTGGGAACTATGGGGAAGAATTCTCACAGCACAATAGTGGAGTCAAATGTGCTCTCCTGTTCCACAAGAAGCGTTTACCTCAAACCACAGTGATCTGCACTGGACTGAGCTAACACACTGCTTTGAGTAATCAGTCACTGCTGTCATTCAGTGCTAGAGGCAAGTTTTAGGCTAGGACCTCCTATCTTTAGTGTTATGTAGTGTGTTGTTGATATTTTCCAGTAACCCAGACAAAAAGTTGGAGCTTTATAGGAGTTTGAGCACAGGCTGCCTTCATTGCACTGGAAAGGCTAGAGAAACCTGCTTACCTGAGGATTGTTACAGTAATAATACAGCTGTGATGCACTGAAATCACAGGTGAAGTTACTTTCCCTTCCACGTCCTAGGGCAGAACTGATGCAAGTACAACAGCTGTGCTTTGAGACTGGAGTGTTGCACATTAAACTCTGGTAGATTGAGAATATGTCATGGGATTGAGTGGTGTTTTAAGTAACAGTGGTAGAGCAAATCACTAGGATAGCACTAACTGAAAACTTTGTTGTGATTAAAGATACTTTGGTCAAAGGAGTTACAGGTATTGTCTGCTCTAAATTTGTACTTTCATGTCATGTTAACTTTTGCAAGTAGCTGCAATAATGTTATTCAACCTAAATCCTAACAAATGAAGCTTTGTTTTACCTGACTAGAGGCTGTTTGGTTGCACTGTCAAAGCAGTTTGCTTGGAGGAACAACTGCTTTGACTCTGCACCCCAGAGCCTTACAGGTGCACTGCTTTGTGTAGGTGAGATCTTTCTGAAATGATAGGGAAGTTGCAAGCTAACTTAGTACTGCATTCCAGTACTCCTGCTGGCATTGTGGTTTATCTATGGTAACTTCCTAGTCTGGTTTTGGGATTAAGATATGATAGGCTGACTTGTTGGTGCCATGCCTGACCTTTGGCCTTTCCTCTTCACAGACTATGGGTGGAGACTTCTCTGGGAGAACCCAGAATGCCTCACAGGGCATATATGCTTTTGCCTGTAAGTTGATTCTTCTAAGGATACAAAAATAAATTTAATACTTGTTTTTCTTAACTAGATAAGATCTGATTTTGTATGGTTATTTTAAACATGTCCAGTAGAAGGTACATAAAGTATTTGTGTTTTCAGTAATAAGAACAATGGTGGTACCTGGTGTTTGAAGGAGGTATGATTATTTTTTCATTCCTTTCACAAAATATTTTTCCTCTAGCCTGTAAGTGTCTACATCCATACTGAACTCATCAGAAGATACTTGTTTCTGATACAAAGAGATGACACAGTTTCTAATTGGGTATTTACTGCGCAGAACCATTAAATTTTGATTCTTCTGTTTTGCTTTTGTCTCAGATATGTCTGAGTGTAACATAACTCTACCCATTTGTGATTGAAAATTTTTTATGCAAAAGGATGTATGTCTTGTGTTTCTTCCTATAAGCCTTAAATGCAAAAAAACCCAGCATGTCCAAAATTATTTCAGAAAAAGGATGCTTAGAAGTCCCTCCTTGATATAAAATGCCTGGAAAATACCATGAAACCTGACTTTTACCTTCCCTTTAGAAAGTGTGAACCTAGTCAGCAGCAAGTCAGCTGAACCAGGAACAACTATTGGCTGATCTCTGAAAAATAGTTATGACTGGCCTTCAAGGAGTCTTTGTTTTTTCAGCTCAGCTTCAGGGTCTGAAGCCTAATTGTGAAAAGCTGCACTGGATCCAGCCCCAGGGTCAACTAATCAGGCATATTGTCTCCAAACCTCTGCAATGCAGATGTTCAGGGTGCATGTTTTCTAGACTTTCTGGAACACGCACTTGAAACACAAACATGTGACTTTTCCAGGCATGTCCAAAACAATAGAGGATCCCAGTGTTCCCTCAGAGCAGTAAGGATTGTTGTCTGTGGGTGGCATTAGCAGTTGAAACTCTTGTATTTCCCTGTTTTCAGTCCCTGGGTAAGGATGCTGCTGAATCTGTTCTCCAGATGGTAGCACTGCACTGATTGTTAGCATTTGTTTGGATGACTGTCACTCAGTGCTAGACACTGCCTTAGAGCTGTGCAGTGTTTGAAAGTAGATCAAGTAGCAACTAGAATGTGTTTTAAACCAGTTAACTGAACTTCTGTCTTTCCTCACTAGCACAAGATGTCTTCCTCCTCCTAAACCAGCCCAGGTACAGGAATCAGAATCTGGAAGTCTATGTGACTTTCTTTGAAATATACAATGGAAAAGTAAGACTTTTATTTTTAAATCTTTACCTGATTTCTTTGGTTGAATATTTCATAAGTACCTGAGTCAAACTTAATACTTGCAATAGTTCTCTGTATTCTGTTTTTATTGGTGTTGAATTTGGAATTGAATTTGATGTCTATGTTAAAGATGCTGTTTCTATATAGCTTTGTATAAAGACAGGGAAAAATACTTACAAGGAGTTCTTGTTCACATTTGCCTTAATCTTTTTGCCTAAATATAGGTGTTTGACCTCTTGAATAAGAAGGCCAAGCTTCGAGTCCTGGAGGATGGCAAGCAACAGGTCCAGGTCGTTGGTCTCCAAGAAAAACCAGTTAGCTGTGCTGAGGATGTCATCAGAATGATTACGATTGGCAGTGCCTGCAGGTTTGGTGACTTAAAACTTATAAGAGGAGTCATGTCCTGTTGTATCTCCATGTTTAGACAAACATATGATGCCTATAGCTGGTGCTTTGAGTTTTAAACAGAAGCTTGTTCCCAGTAAAGGCACTGAGCAGCACCTCTGCATGAATACCAGGAAGCGGTTACAGAACAAAGAACTAGAAGGGAGGTGGGTGCCTTCCATAGAAAAATGTCAGAACTCCTCGTCCATATGTCCTCATGCAACTCCAATAAAAGAAACCGTTCACATGAGGAGATGGCCACCTTTCTAGAAGTATCAGCTAGTTTACAGGAATACAAGTAGCTCCCTGTGGGCTTGTAAGATTAAGGAACAGCGGCTGGTATGATCCATAGTTGCAAAAATGGTTTGGCTTAACTGCAGGCCAGATGAGCTATTACAATGGCAACAAAAATACTGCATGTTGTTCAGGAATCTTGTCGAAAGAATCCTTGAAAGCAGGTGCTAAGGGACAGCTGTAGGCTTGGAGCACCATCCTGGCAGAAAAGGCTGTGGTAGGGGCAGCTCTGCCATCATACTGGTATCTTTAATTGGGTGCTAAAATCTGTATTACTGGGTGTTATCTGCTTCAGTTAGGTTGCAACTGCTGTGGAAATGTTCATAGGCAAATGAGAGCTCCTTGGCTTCTGTACTGCACCATGTGGGCAAATATGCACATCCTAAAAGCTTATTCAGCATTCTGTGCATCCTTTTTCGGCTGGCAGTTTAGTCATGAACTGGTTTTACATTTCAGGCTACTCCCTCCTCCCTCCTTTTTCCTCAGTAGTAGGGATGAGGGTGGAACAGTGAACCTGCCAGCATTCTCAGGGAATAAATGATAGTGAAGGTCACAGGGAGATTTAAATTAAAAGATGTCATTCTGTGCTTTGTAGTGATGGGGCAGGTGCAGCTGCACAGCAGAGGTGAAGTGCCAAGCCAGCTTGGCTGGAGAAAGGGATTTATCATGATTGTAATGTGCTAGTACAGCTTAATGCTGTTTAGTGGGGAGCTTGGCTGAGCTTATCATATAATGGCAGATGCATTAGGAAAATGACATGTGGTGTGCTGAAGGTGTGACTTCCAGCTCAAGTGCATGTGAGGCTTTAGCACTCAGGCATTCCAATGTAGGCTGGCTGAGTTGAGCCAGGCGGCTTAAATAGCCTTAAATTTCCATAGCCAGGGTGTAGGTTCATATTTTTCACAAGTAGTTCTGTGCTCTTAGATCAGAAGCAATTCCATAATTCACACAAACTTAAAGTATAAAAGCAGGGGATAAAGCCTAGGAGGTTAATTAAGTGGCTACAGGTCTTATCTTGTGCTGTCAGGACCTGTTGTCTTCTGTGACACATTTGTAAGTCTTGTTTGCATCTTTGCTGTAGGACATCTGGGCACACATTTGCAAATACCAGCTCTTCACGGTCACATGCCTGCTTCCAAATCATACTGCGCCGAAGAGGACAAATGATTGGCAAATTTTCCTTGGTGGATCTGGCAGGAAATGAAAGGGGTGCAGACACATCTAGTGCTGATCGGCAGACACGGATGGAAGGTGCTGAAATCAATAAGAGCTTGCTGGCTTTGAAGGTGAGCAACAGCTCCTGGAGCAGAGTGATAATCCACATGTGGATTCTGTTCAACTCTAGGCTTATCTATTCTGTTTCTTTCCAGTACAAGGGAAAAACAACCAAAAAGGTACTAGTTTAGAATGTGAGCAACCTAAAAATAGAGTATACTTCCATTTAGAATGTTTCCAGGAAAGTAGTGCAGTCTTGTCAGACATTGGTATAGCTATTTCAAGCTTCGTTCAAGTTGACTTTTTTTGGGGGGTGGTTTGTGGCATATGATGGCTATACTTACTGCCTTGAGACAGTCAGATACCTGAAGTATATTTTAAAGACAATGAAGAACTTAGAGCAATACATGCAACTGTTTTCCAGCCTGTTGGGTTTACCAGCAGGTGGTGGTTGATAGCTTGCAGAGCTGTTTGAAGAGAGGTGCCAATTCTGCATTCAAAAGACTTTTTTTTTTTTTTTGTAGGAGTGCATCCGAGCTTTAGGGCAGAACAAGTCTCATACCCCTTTTCGGGAGAGCAAGCTGACACAGGTGCTAAGAGACTCTTTCATAGGAGCAAACTCAAGGACCTGCATGGTGAGTATGTACAAGTCAAACACACTGCTCACATTCTATAATTCGACAAAATAGCTGCATGTTCTCTAGACCAAAGGTTTTTTTTAAGTCAGAAAGCTATAGATATTTCAAACAAACAAACAAACAAAAAAAACCACCCAAAAGACTAAACATTTTCCTTATGGAAACTTGCCCATGGTGAGTGAGATAAGAAATTGGTGAGTTATGCCCAACTCCAGTAGAAGAAGGGCAGGAAGTCTTTTTAATACAGTGAATCTGCAAGAGAGCCTGATATAGTCTCAAAGGGCTTTGCTTTCTGTGGATGGTGAGGCATAGCAGGTGCACACAAAGACAGTGGAAAGTTGGTTGCAGGGATGCTGGCATTTCCCACAGAATCCATAAAGAAAAATGGACTTGGCTGTCTCAACTCCAGCCCTTTGTCCTCAAATGTCCCAGCTGTGTGGTGAGATCTGTAGGAACATTAATGAGCAAAAATCAGATATAAGTCACTAAGGTTTCTTTTGTGTTTGCAGATAGCAATGATTTCTCCAGGCATGAGTTCGTGTGAGTACACCTTAAACACACTGAGATATGCTGACAGGTAATGGCCTTTCTGACCTGGGGATTTGGATCATATTGTACAAGGTGTTTTAGCTGCTTTTACTCTGACCTTTGGAACCTCAAGTTCTCTTGTATTGCTTATATTGGCAACCTGGAGGATGGTTGTTAGGAGCAAAGTATCTTAGAGCTGTCATATGAAACTAACCTGGGTGTTTTGTGTGAGACACAGTAGAGATGATGTAAGACGATGTGTAATGTCTTCTTTCCTCAAAGGAATCTCTTCTCATGCTAGACTTCAGACTGCCCTGGTTCTCATAGGGAGTTTACACCCTGTCCTGAATGGTTACCTCCATGCCTTTTACTTTTTGTAGCACTTTGTGACCCATCTATAAGGGTGTGCTAAGAATGCATCATGAATGAGTGTTTTAGTTCACTCAAAGAATCACTGGCAAAGGTAGCAGCAAAAGCAGGTTTAAAATTAAATGAAAGACAAACTTTGTTGGCAAAGTTCACTCTACTACTTACTAGGTAGTTAAAGCACACAGAAAAGAAAATTGACTAAAATCAATCAATCTAAGACTAAATCAACTTAAAATTATCTTCCTGGAAGCCTGGGGAATAGAAAAATAGGTAAGGATAGAAAAAGACAGTGTAAGGATGAAAAGGACTAAGGGAGACCCTCCCCTTGAGTCATAAGGTTCATGTGACCTCCCCTTGTCAAACATAGTCCTGGACTTGACCAACAGTTTAGGCCTCAAGATTTTAACTGCACTTAATCCGTAGCCTAATTAATTCAAATAAGTTAACATAAGATTCTATTTAACTTACTATAAGCACAACAGTAGCTCACTTACAGGCCTAACTTACTTACAAATACTTAACATACTTAAGAATCTAAGACGGCAAACTTCATAGTATATTTACTATAGTATAGTCATGCACATGACCTGAGGGATGGTGTATGAGGTGTATGTACCACCCACTGTGAAGGGATTTCAGTCCTAGCTCAACTGATGAGTGTGAACTGCCAGAGTGGCTCCTGAATGTCCAGACAGGAAAGTTTCCTTAACACAAACATCTCCTGGCTTTCCTTTCTATAGTATTCAGGGGTTTCTGCCCACATAAGCCTGTTCTGGGAATGGTAACTGTGCAACTTTTAAAGTGCAACTGATTGATTCTTGCTGAGCACTGATTGATTGCAGTAGCTGCTTTGTGATGCTGTAGCTGAGAAACTGACAAAAGATGAATTTGAGTGACAAATCTTCTTGTTGCAGAGTGAAAGAGCTCAGCCCTCATGATGGAGGTAGTGAAACTCAGAATCAAATGGAGACTGAGGAGACTGAGACCAGTACAGAAGGCTCAGGTCTTGAATTCAATGTATGTGTGTGCAGTGGCTAAACAGAACTCAAAGCTGGGAACAACTTGCTGTTCTTACCCGGGCTGTTTCTTGCAGCTCTCCAAGGATGAGGAAGAAGAACTCTCTCCCCACATGTTCAGCTATCGAGAGGTTATGGCTCAAATTAGTGAACGGGAGGAGAAGGTTGTAGAACAGCTCAGAGAACTGAGACAGGTATGGGAAACAGCAAACCCAGCTCAGGCCACCTTCTATATGTTGATAGCAGCTTGCTTTGTCTGAGCCAAGTGCTGCTGGGGCAGCAATGCAAGATGCTGTACCAGTGGTGTTACTTTTTCCTCACTGCCAACTTTTCCCTGTCTTTTCTGGCCCAACTGGTTAAACTAGGGCATTCCACTGTTTTTGCCAGTTCCCTTTCCCCTCCAAATAACCACCTCTACTTGCTGCTAATGAGCACTGACTGCTCCTGTTCTGTAGAAGCTCAGCTATGTTGATTAGACTGCCAGATTTGAAGAAACTAACTGAATTTCCAGGAAGTCCATTTCTAATCACTGTTATCCTTGTAAATACAGAGAATGACTACTGAACTTGACTACCTCTTGGGAATCACAGAGAAGCCAGATTATGATCTTGAGACCTTTGTGAGCAGAGCTAAGTACTTCGTGGAGGACAGCTCAAGAAATTTCCTCAGTGTCAGAGGTATGTTAGAGCCTATATCTGACTAGAACTGTCACTAATGCTTTTCCAAAGACCTGAAGGTAACACCAGCATACCTGTGGGGGTTTGAGCACCCAGTCCTGCGTAGCTCTGAGGTCTTCTGAGAGTGACGGCTGGACTGCAGAGTTGATCAGTTGCCCTGTTGTTTTTACCTTTCTTTACAGAAACACTGGATGCCCTGGGGACTGCCATGCAACTGGAGGAGCAAGCCAGCAAGCAGATAAGCCAGCAGAGGCCTTAGTCATTATAGCAAAACCTGGTTCACAAGCAATGTTGCATGCACTTGTCTTGTCTTGCATATTTGTCAGTGGTTTGTATGACTCCTGTTTTAAATGTAGTAGGGTGTCTGCAGGTCATATGCCCAAGGGCAGTGAACACAGCAGTCTTTTTCTTCATAGCCTGAATCAGGATACTCAGAAAAGTGCTAAAATCCGCCTACTGCAAGGCTTGGGTAGGGGGCCTGAGAGTCTGCAGTCTGCCTGAGATATTTGGCATTTGGCCCTTTGCTAGTGACACTGGTCTCCCCTAAGAGAACTAAATACATATGTATAGGTTATGTATACACATAACCTTTTCCAGATATGCTTAAAACATTGCAAAACTGTTGAAGGTTTTGCTTTTATAGAAAGAGAATGGACTATGTGATTGTAAAAACCAGTATTTTAAGAAGTTGAATAAATAAATGCTCTTGGATCTCATCTTATCTGTCCTATAAAAAATATTTCTTCCTGATTTTGGTAAAGTTTAACAGCTCCTAAAGACTGGCTGGTTGTTGGTAGGGAGGCTGTTTTCTTGGATGAAGTTTCTTTGCAAAGTCTTTATATTGTAATGTTTACATAAAAATCACTCAAAATATGTTTTGTCTCTTAATTTTGAGATGCTGCTGGGATCTCCTAACAGGGGAAGCTGGCTTAGGTGTAGCTATCTGCTCCCATGGCCCTTGTGTGCAGCCTGGGTCCAGATTGCCCCGCAGACCTTTCCTCTGGCAAAGAGCAGGTTAGGGGAGGAGCAGTTGTAAGGCATTTGCTCTTTCTCATTTATTCAGCTCAGTTCAGCATTTGTCCTCAAAAGCACGAAATAGTTATGTGAGCAGTAGGTTCAGCAACACAGGATGCAGGTATCCAAACATCAGATCACAAAGGGACCCTTCTACCATTACTCCTTCTTACAGCTACCTTCTCCCTCTGAAAGTCAAGGGTGTAATTTAAGTGACAGAGCCCCACCCCAGCTCTGCACCTGCCATCTGTGGACTGCATCCTTGCTGTATGTCTGGAGATGCCAACTACATTGAAGGCCAGTTATTCAACCTGGGCTGGATCAATTGTGTGCTATGTTTCAGGGCTGGCCTAGAAAAAACAGCAGAAGAGCTAGGGATCTTTGAGGGATGTAAGCAAACATTAGTCACAAACACTTAAACAAGGGATACTTCAACCCAGGTATGGTCCTCCTCCACAGCTGGGGCACTTTGTGCTCAACATCTTAGCTTCTGGGAGCAGACTGGGGCTGAGCACTCTGAGGGTTTCTGAACTGTGGAAGCTGACCTGGACCTGGGCTCTGCCTGCATCACACTAAGATGGCACAGCCAGAGTGGAAGGGCTGTTATGCCCTACTAAGTTTGGACAAAAGCAAGACAATCCTGTTCTACTTCAGGTGTTTGTACTCTTGGATTATCTAGCCTTTCCCTGTGTAAGGAATGAAGTATTGCCACTACCTTCCCTCTGTTGGACCTAACATTGCTTATTTTCCCTATATCCACCTTAGGAGTTAGAGACCTGATCTGCAGGCCATCAGCTCCTACCCTGGAAAATGCTGTGTTCCTGTCCTGCCCTAGTAGCAGCAACAGACAAAGTAAACAAGAAATGTTCAACTGTGCACAGATTAACAAACATTTAAGACTGGGGCTTGCTGAGAACTAACTGTTCTTCCTGGTCTGTATTAAAGTCTTGCAAGTTTCTTGTGTGACCATAAAAACCCTAGGACTCAAACATTACCACCCTTACTTCTGAGAGGGTGTCACTGGAAAACTCCTCAGCTTTGCCTCCCTACTCACCAAACATTCTCTGTCGTCTGCTTTTGCAGAAAAGGTGTTCTGACAGCACTATCTTGTGGACACTGCAGGAAATTCATACTGAATAAACCAATTTTAGCATAAATGGCTGAATTTCTTTAAGGATTGAGTGTACAATCATAGGCACTAGGTTTTCCAGTGGGTGGCTGATGTTATAAAATGGTGTTTCACTGCTGGCTGTAGCTCCTAGCTGTGTGGAGAATGCAGTGGCCATGAACAATGCAGTACCTTTCAGGCCTGTGCAGAACAGACGTTGCTTCAAGGCCCAGCCTCAAGGGTGACAATACACAAAGCCAGTGCAGATTTCACATCTCCCTATGACTGAAATTTCAAGCCAGCTCCAGTGGCAGTAGAAGGGAGGGTCTGAGTACTACCTGTAGGCAGTGATTCTGCCTCATTCCCAAACCCACCCATCTCCAGGGCTGGAGACTTGTCAGAGCTGGGAAACTCAGCGGAGAGGCGTGTCAGAGCTGAATGGGTGAATCTTTCCTGGGAGGAGTGTGTCCTAGTCCTTTCCTACTGAAAGGATGCCATTTCTCCAAAGCTCTTTTTATGGTCCTGTAAATTCTGCTCCAGTTTCTTACTCAATGGCTTTTGTGGCAGCTGCTAATTAAACATACTCTCTCAGCCAAAATGTGTCTGTGTATGTGGACCACTAGGAAGGAAAGAATGATGCTTTGCTAACTTCTGAGATGTTAGAGGTGGAGTTATGCTGCTAGCATGAAAGGAGGATGGATGTAGTGTATACTGTGTCTATGTATAATGATCTATGCACGTGCCACTATGCGCAGGCAACCTGGGCTACTGTGGCCTGCACTGCTGAGCTGGGAGAAGAAACACCCAGCACTGGAACTGTTCGCCATCCTCACCCAGCAGCCTTCAGCACATCTCTGGAGGCCTGCAGGGTAGCATTAGTGCTAGAGGCAGCCCCTGCCTGGACCTGGGCAGCCTTTGCTGCTGCACCCCTTGCCTCAGGGGACAGCCCCCTGCACCTCCCCTACCTGTGAAGGTGACGGCTGAGCCCTGCAGGTGATGACGGACCCTGACCTTGTCGCTCTGGAAGGTCGCCCGGGGGCAAAGGTAGCGCACTCTAAATTAAAGTGTACATACAACAAGGTATAACAACCCAGTGGAAACCCTGTCGGCCTTAGCTCAATTGCAAGATTCGTAAGTTCTATTTTTAACCCAAGAAAATGTAGCTCCACCGAAATGGAGCCTCAAAAAATTTCTCGACACTCGTGCCTGTTCCTCTCCACGGAAATCTTTAGTAAAAGGCGAAAGATTTATACGATCTGAAGAGAAACCAGAGTATAACACGTGCCCCCTCGCCGACATACCCACCGACTGTTCTGCCCCCCAACAGTGAGGGCGACGCTCGCCCGCCCGCCGCTCCCGGCCCCGCACCCCCGGCTGGTCCCGGCCCCGGGGGCCGCACACCTCACACAGCCGCCGGGCACCTCCACAGGCCCGGGCGGGGCAGCGGCCGCAGCACCGGACACCGGAGGGGCCGCGGAGCACCCTGGGTATGCAAATCAGGCCGGCTACGAGGCGCCGCTAATGAGGAGGTGGAGCCGGCGGCGCGGACGGGCGGGGCAGCTTGGTTTTGCGGACAGCGGTGGGACAGCGTATCCATTTCCATCCCCACGGTCCGAACGGCAGGCCATGGTCGCAATTCATTAACAACAACCCACCCCAAAGAACGCTCAGCATTTGCTCTTTCTTTAACCAGACATGGTTAGCTCCACCGTAATGGAGCCACAAAAATTCTCTTAAGACTCGTACTAGTTCCTCTCTACGGAAATCTTTAGTAAAAGGGGAAAGATTTATACGATCCGAAGAGAAACCAGAGTATGGCCCTGCTTGGCCCCGCACATACGCCGACTCCCTGCTGCTGCCACAACAGCACGGCGACGCGCACGCAATTCCTTTTCCTACTCCCCATTCCTTCCAGCGCCTCACGCGGCCCGGCACCAGCCCAACACAGCAAGCGGAGGAACCGTGACCAAGCCCGGTGCTTCCTGCCCTCCTGCCGGGGCGGGGGGAGCGGAGCGGGGCAGCTGGGCACAGAAGCGAGCGGGAGTGGACAAGGACCCCGCGGCGCTCGGGTCTGGTCGCATCGTCACCACAGACAGCACGGCGCAGGGGTAAAAAGTCGGCTCCGAGAAAAGCCCACCAGACGCCGCCGCCACGGACCGGAGCGGGAGGGCTTGCGGTAGGGGCCCCACGCATGGTGCTGAGCTCCCTGAGGGATCTAACACCGCCTCTATCCCCCTGGGCGGGGCTGGAGTGCCCGGGACTGCCGAGCAGGTCTCCGGCTGCCGCTTCTCCCGGAGTCCGAACCACCGGCACGCAGCTGCTCCGCTGCACCGCCAGGGCCGGGATGAAGGGTTGCCCGAGCCCCGCCTCCTCATGGCGCCTCTTGTGACCAGACAAGGGCACTGAGGCGGCTGTCCCGGCGGGGGCTGTGCGGCCGGGCCCCCGGATGCAGGGTCAGGCCTGCCGGGAGCCAGACCTAAGCAGGATACGCTTCCAACGCCAAAGCAGCGCATGCATGCCGCAGCTCTTACAACACTGCAGGTAAAACACGCTTCCCAAGCAGTTTGGTCTATTTTTAACCGTATTAGGGATAGCTCCACCGAAATGGAGCCTCAAAAAATTTCTCGACACTCGTGCCTGTTCCTCTCCACGGAAATCTTTAGTAAAAGGCGAAAGATTTATACGATCTGAAGAGAAACCAGAGTATACAAGAGAGCGGCTCTCGGCAGCTACCGATCCAGGGCTGTCCCTCCTTAGGATACAGCGACGCGGGTTGCCCCTCGTGTTCGCCCCTCTGCTGCCCCGTCCCGTTGCCCCGGCAGCGGCCAGAGCCCGGCCGTGCTCGGAACCAGCGGTCCGGGGAGCGGCGGCCCGAACTTTGCCGTGTACCGGCGGCACCGCCGCGCGGTGCACCCTGGGTATGCAAATTAGTCTGAGCGCTCGTAAGGCGCGCACGCCCTCCCGGCTCCGTATCGGTCGTAGCCAGGCAGGATCGGGGCCCCGGGAGCGCTCGACCGGGAGTCCTGTGCCTGCCCTTCGCCCCCGGCTGGGTCGACAGATCCTACTTTTGTACTGGACCTCCAGGTGTACTGAGCACAGCACACCCAGCATGGGCTCCATGAGCACACAGGGCACGTGTCCCATCATATCCTGGAGAAAAGGGCAGAGTGGTAGTGTCAGGAAAATTAAAACACAAACACCAGAAGTTTATGTCCAAAAAGGAGACAGAAGAGTCTTTTTACTTTATTCAAATAAAGGGAGAGGCCATGGGGCATTCCCCTGGGGTCTCTCAAATTTTTGGAGGGCGCAGCCTCCTTTTTATCCTAATTCTTGGCCGCTTGTCCCTTCTCTCTTTACCTATAGGTCGAGG